AGTTGGCAAAATAGTGGGTGGATTCTTTTCAAAAGAAGGATTAAAATAAATATAAAAAAAGAAAAGAAAAGAAAGTGGAGTGTGTTAAAGAAAAGACATCATTCATGTTGGTGCATTTTTCATTGGCCGACTTGATAGTAGGCTGGTTTTGTTTGAGTGTTTGATGGGTCCCTCCACATGGACGAAGAAGTGGTAACAGCAACATCCATTGCCACTGTTAAGGAAGAGAGAGAGATAGCGACTGAAGAGAGGAGAGAAGGGGTTTGTTTCATGGCATAGCGAACGCCGGCGTGAGCGGCGAGGTGGAGGATGTGGGTGCCGACGAAGCCGGCGGCGCCTGTGACGAGGATGGAGAAGCCGTGGGTCGATGTCGCCATTGATGAACAAATATGTGTGAGGCAGAGAAGAGTTCAGAAATGGATTTGTGGTGCTGGATTGGAGACCGGCGTTGCCGAAGGAGTACCTGTACAACCAATCTTGCAAGGTCGTCAGGCTAATACACTTGACCATGATGGGTACCGTATAGCAGAAAGGGGAGGAGTGAAGGTATGTGTAAAAAATTCCAGCGGGCAGCAATGGCAAAGTTGCCGGCCGGCTGCCCGCCGGTGACAAATAAATACAGGCTTAAATCTTATAGCTCTGATACCATGTAAGAATTTATGTATTATTGATTGATCTGTCTTAATGTTATATTACAAATCAGAGTGGCATTATATAGGAGAGGGTTTGGGTAGTAGGTGAGGAGTAGAGTGGAGGTGGTAGGTGGAGTGTGTGATAGTGGAGGTGGTAGGTGTGGAGATAAATTCTAACACTATAAATTAAATTTTTTGGTTTTTAAAAGTGAAAATTTTGTTGTAAAAAATATTTATGGATCAATTTTTATAGTCTTGAGGATAGTCGCTAAAAAGTTATTCCGAAAAGTAAAAAAACAAGGCATGTAGCCACAAAATTTTAAAAATATCACTAATAAATAGACTTTTAGGTTTTAGGGACAAAAAAATTCGATCTCAAAATGATTTATTTTTTGAGACAAAAATTTAGTCCCAAAAGGATAATAATTCATCACTAATACCCAATTTTCGTTGCTAAAAATATAATTATAACATTTTTCGTAACAAAAATATTTAATACCTAAAAATAATTTTATTCTTAAATTTTAATTTTTACAATCTTAATTTTTTATAGTGCCATATGAGTAATTTATATTTTGAATAGAGGAGTTTGGTTTCTTTATTTATATTTTGAATAGAGGAGTTTGGTTTCTTTATTTATTTATTTTGTTCATGTTAGGGGTTCTTTTGTTTGGTTGCCTCTGGAAAAAAAACAAAAAAACAAAAAGAATAGTGCACCTATTCCAAGTTGTCCAAAGCGAATTTGAAGTAACTTGATTGTCCAATTTCTTTTCTACACTTTTGAAGAACTCTACAAGTCATCGAGAACCATAAAATGGATAGGCTAGGGTGTTAATTAAAAGTTCATTATAAGGTCTGAACATTAATGAAAGTCAATTTGTTAGCGGCGACTCAAACCTATTTGAGAGTTAAGACAAAAATCTAATCAAAGCCGTTTATAATATTTTTCGTTTTCATAATTTTATGAGGCCCTTTCCATATCCAACAACGATTCATACTATTAAAAAAATCACTACTAATAGTACTAATACATTGAGAAAACAAAAAAAAAAAAGAAACAAGGCATAAACAATGGACGGGACCCACTACCACATCATTAATGCTCCCATTTTAGTATTCCCAATCATTTTTCATGTATCCAATAACAGAGGATGCTTGCTCCTTGTCTAGTTTATTGAGGGTCCAAGATGATGATGAAATGGTATTCTTATTAAATAGGGTAAGTTAACACTTAGGTTTGGTCTAATTACATTCTAGTTTTTTGATGTTATAAAAATTATATTCTTACTTTTGTAGTTAATAGTCTCATTTTACAAATCTCCTTACTTATATAAAAAACAATAGACAAAAATCTAATCAAAGCCTTTTTTAATTTTTTTCGTTATCATAATTTTATGAGGCTCTTTTTGTATGAGAGGATGCTTGCTCCTTGTCTAGTTTATAGAGAGTCTAAGATAACGATGTATTCTTATTAAATAGGGTAAATTACAGTGACACCTTAGGTTTGGTCTGGTTACATTCTTTTATTCTAATGTTATAAAAATTACATTTCTGCTCTTGTAGTTAATAGTCTCATTTCACAAATCTCCTTATTTATATAAAAGACAACAACTGCTGATAAAAAATTAGAAGAAATTATATTAAATAAAAAAAAAGTAAAGCAAAGGAAAGAAAAGAAAAGAAAAGAAAAGAAAAAAGTAGAAGAAGTAAAGTAAAGTAAGAAAAGAGAAAATATATGAATTCAATGTATTTTTTATACTAACGTTAATTTTGTTTAAATAATTACAATGACAAGGAAGCTAGTGTAAATTTTCAAATGTCAAGAGGTAATATGCATTAAACCCAAACCTCAGGAGCTGTAAATGTAATTTATCCTATTAGATAATTGGGTAAGTTACATCAGTGGTCACTACATTTTTAATTGGATCAATTTTGACTCTTAATTTTAAATTTTATGTTAATTTAGTCTAATTGATAATAACGTTAGTGTTTTTTTACGAGATATTATTACTAAATTAGTTAAGGTTAACTAACTGAGTTTAGTAAATTTATAATTTTGTCCTTCAAAATATGACACATGAAACTTATGTGCATATTTTTCATAAAAAGATAGAAAGAGTTATAATCAATTAGACTAAATTAAAACAAAATCATAAATTCAGGGTCAAAATCGAGTCAATTGACATTATAATGACCAAAATGACACAAGAATCAAAATATAGAGAATACCGTCGTAATTTTCCTTGATAATGTAATATGTAAATACTTTTATTTATTCATTGAGAGATTTTAGGCTTTTTTTTTTAATTTAAAAAATTATTTTAACTATTGTTTTATATATATGCACAGTATAGTGAATATATTAGGAAAATGATTTTTTCCCACAAATTTGTCCCCCTGAACAGCCCAAAATTTAGAAGAGAGAGAGAAAGAGAAGAGAGGGGAAGAGGAGGCAGCTCGTCACAGCCCTCCGCCCTGGCAGCCCCTCCGCTCGCCGTCGCCTCCGCCCGATCGTCGCCCCGCCGTCGCCTCGTCGCAGCCCTGCCGTCGCCTCCGCCTCTGCCTCGCAGCCCCCACCTCCGCCTCCGCCTCCGCCTCCGCCCCCTGCCTCTGCCTCTGCCTCTGCCCCCTGCCTCCGCCCCCTGCCTCTACCTCCGCCTCTTCTTCTTCTTCTCTTCTTCTTTTTTTCTTCTTCTTTCTTCTTCTTCTTCTTTTCCGATTGAAAAAAAAAAAATCAAAACGACGAAACGACATTGTTTTGAATTCGGGGGATTCGAGCGCCCTCTCTTTCGAGCTACGTAGCACGATTCTATATATTAACAGGAGAATTCTATTACACACATCCTATACTATATCCACTCATTAGTTATGTCATTTTCTTCTTTAGTTGTGATCAATTTTTTATTTAATTATGATTAATTTTTTTTATTTAGTTATGACATTATTTTAAGATATTTGATTATGAATTTTTTTTATATTTAATTAAAATTTCATTTTTTTTAAATTAAAACTCATAAAATATAAAACTATATTATTTTTTTTTTGTAATTATAAAAAATATATGATAAAAAGGCGTATACATAGTCTTTTCAAAAAAATGATGTTTTCTTTTACTCTTGGACCTAGACGAACACTTAATTTGTAGAGACCCTAATTTTTATAATTACCATTAAATTCCTAACCTTGAGTTTATTTCAATAAAGCCCTTGAATTTTCGCTTAATTGCACTTTAAACCCTAGAATCGGGAAACATCGCGGATTAATTCGAGTAAACCCTAATCGATCCCGTAGACTAATAATCACCTTTAAAATCATATTATTAATTATTAGACCCTATCATTATATATTAATCACTCTAAAATTTTAATTCCCGGTAATGTCGTTTTTGCTCGGTTTCTCGCATTTGCTTGCGCTTTAATTTAACGGGACCCGAATTTATTATTTTAACTATTTTCTAATGTTGATACATTAATAACATATATCAAGGTTTCATAAATTTAGACTTGGTCCCTATATACTTTTATTTTATTTCATTCCAACCCTTAATTGTAATATTTTATTAATTAATGTACTTGTGGTTATTAAATTATGTTTATAAATAAAAATATCTTTTATATATATATATACATATGTCTTGGAGCCCAAGTTGTTGACTATATGATGGATGAAAAGGGCTATAATGACAACTTTGACAATTTGCACTTATAAAACTTGGCCCCTTATTATTAATATTTTATTTTAGTGTAATTATTTGTATTTTGTACTTAAAAATGATGTGTGTCCTCTAATTAAACCCCGATGCATCGTTATATTATATTATCAAAATTTAAGGCGTCACATAATTAATTGCCTATCCCTTCAGCCACCACCGCAACTTGTGCATTGATTGAAATTTCCAAACCATTCGACTAATTGGTCAATATATATATATATATATTTACATATATATATATATATATATACATATTTGTTCTTTTTAGTATTATTCGTCATTGATAAGTGAAAAGAGATCATCACAGTAGGCTCCCACTCTTCTAGAAAGAGTTTTAAAAAGTGAGTTAAAACTCATTTCTCAAATTTTAACCTACTTTGAGTCATATTATTTTTTATAATTTTTACATTTTTTTTTTTAAAAAAAAAGGCTAAAATTAATTAAAAAATTAATTTTTAACTATCTTCCTAAAACAACCTCCAGTGACACACACAGTCTAACTTCTTTTATTTGGTGGCATAACAAGAAACAAAACAAGACTTGAAGCAGAGATATCTAATTAGATTTGTAAATATGGTTTGTAACACTGAACAAAAGCAACACAACAGCAGCAACAAACGATATGAATGCCCATGGAGTGTTGAAATAATCCCATCTTAAGATCCCCAACCATACATCCCATTTCCCCTGCAATGCTCATTCGCTTTGCTATAAACGTCTTCGTAACCTACATCAGATCGTATGGTATAGTTGCCGAGCTTGTTTAACATAGTCGCAACCACTTCATTGTCACCTAAAACCTTATGAATAATTCGATGGTGAGTAAGTATTTCGACATCTTTTGAGGTGTTCACGAGGCAATCCAAAAAGTTGTTATAAGCAGTGAAATAATTCCTTGAAGTATGAGGAGGGCGTTGCTCGTATGCAATTAAATTTCTGAAAAAAAACTCTGTATCGTCATCAATTATTAAAGTTGGGATTTCCATTGTCCCATTTACAAACCTTATGTTGAACAAATTCCGTCCCTCAATCTTCTTGAATTTGATCCCTGCTTCTTGGAGCTCTTTTGTAGATTTTAGGGACTTATCTTTTATTTCAACAATATTTCTCGGGGATACCATTGAATGAAATTCACTGCAACAACAATAATGCAACAGGCCTAGAAGATGTTCGATGTCATCTTCTCTTGAATTTTCAAAAGGAGCTCCTAAAAGTTCACCTGGCGTTACCCAAACAAAAGTCTTAACAGACATGCGAACTAGGTCGTCTAGTGAGTCGGTAGAATTGTTGGTCATGTTGAACAACTGCATGACGATAAAGAATGGAAGTTGATTTTCAAATAACACTAAATCAGGGCTTAAGGCACTTTCAATATGGTCAATCTGAAAAATGCAGTTGTTCGGGTCTCTCAGGTTTGTCATCTCATACTTGCGAAGCAACTCAACGATGAAGCAAACTGTCAAGAAGCATCATTTCTACAAACTCATTTGAATCAGGGCTAATGGGTTCTGCATGAAACTTACAATGTATTTCTTCAGATTCTCGTGTTGCCACAATGTATCTTTCCGCACTGGTTTCATTTCTTCATTCAAGAAGCTGTTGCAAGTAGCCCAATTTGTGCTTTTCCATTGGTTGTAGATTATCCTTGCCATGGTGATAAGGACCAATAGCAACTACTTTTGGTCCGTAAGCCTTTTTATTTTCGTTGTGCAGTGAATCATGTACTCTAAAGATGCAACATTCAGATGGTATACTAAGTAACTCAGCAAGCTTTTTATTAATATCGAGCATAAGTTCGGCACTTGTCTCTGACATGTTCTATGTCTGTGCACACAAATTTTCAAGACCATATGTCAAAAATAGTAGTACAAATTTTCATGCCTTCAATGATACCACATGTACAATTAATCAACAAGGCAAATTCCATTTCTCTCTCAACTTGGTTTTCATTGCTATGAAATATGAATTAAAAATGCAAATTCAGAATTAAGTTTCTTAAAAAGACAATAAACAAGACAATGAAATATAATTTTCAGATGCTCTTACAAAAACAAATGAAAATGAAAAAACAAGTAGCATTGAGACGAAAAGGGTATTAATATGGTTTTGTATGGCGGACCTGAACTCCTTTTTGGTATGTTTTTCGCCCGTGCAATCAATCCTGAAGTTAATCAATTAAGCAAAGAAATGTCAATAAATTTGGAGAAAATGTGGATTTTCTTAATGGTTTCTTTCAATAGGGGTGAAGATGGTTTGTTTGATTCAATTTTGAAATAAATCAAAATCAAATCACTACTTACAATTTTATAAAATTTGAAATCAATCTAACCTATGAAAACGCAGCTTGGTTCAGTTTAGTTCGGAACTACGGTTTTCATGAATTTTGCCATCATTCGTAACATAATCACAACTTGCTCAAATATCAACTAATATATCATCATTTTACAAACAAAATTGTTAGGATGATTGTTTAAAACTAGTTCTATTATTATACAACAACACACTTATTAGTAAAAAAGTTTAAAAAAAAAAAAATGAATATATAAAAGATACAAATAATTAATGAGATTGATTGCATGCTTAACAAAAGAAAAATGCGAGAACAAATAATATTGAGCAGTTCTCCACACAAAATAAATATATATATATATATATTGCGCAATTCATTTAAGATTGACTCACAACATATATTAACTGTAAGGACATGACCGTGTCCATAAATCATCTTCAAGCAGGTAAACCCATACATGTGATTGTCCAAACTCCAAAGTACACATTCTCAAAAAATGAGTCAAGGACATATTCTATCAATAAGGCTATGATCAACCATAGCAGCCCAGAGAATTAAACTAGCAGGCAATTGAAAATCTCAAGCAAAAATGTCAAACACTTTAAAAGATTCTAATGCCAATACCTCCTTGGTCGGAGCATGAATCTCCCTCCAAAAATCAGCCCCAGCCAATACAACACCTGTTTTACCTTGCTTGGTTCTTACATCAATTGATACCAAACAACAATGCCTAAGCATTGAACACAAATGAAAAGGTAAACGAATTGGTTGAAAATTGCCCAGGAAGAATTGGTTGAAAATTGAACTGGTGACACTAATGTTGAGTAGTGATTCTAGTATATCTGCATTCCCACAAGAAGGCAACATACTATGATGGAAAGTTGATAGAGAATATGAACTTGCTTGCTGTTGTCACCCCAAGCTATTTTGCTTTTTGTTATCTTGCTCATCAGCTCCATGGTTGTGAAGTGTCCTTGGTTTCTAGGTAGGATGCTCAGTCAACTTTTGCTTTGGCTAATTTTGCAGCTTACTCAAGAGCATTCTGCTGCTTAGGCCTTACCATCTCATGTTCTGAGCGAAAGAAATCATATATTGTAAAGCATCAAGTACATAAGATATTTATCAAGATTACATTACACAAATAGGAAGAGGCTAAGAAACATGCAAGCTGTACAAAAAAGACTATCACAAATTGGCACTACAAGAAAATGGGGCTTAAAAGACGGAATTATTTGCGACGGTACACTTACCGTCGCAAAGACGGTAAAAAATACCGTCTCAAAAAACAGAGTATTTGCGACGGTAGAAAAATACCGTCGCAAAAAAGGAGAGTATTTGCGACGGTATTTTCTGCCGTCGCAAGTACTCTTCTTTTTTGAGACGGTATTTTTCTACTGTCGCAAATACTTTGTTTTGTGAGACGGTATTTTTTACCGTCGCAAATACTCTGATTTTTTGAGACGGTACTTTTTACCGTCGCAAAAAGTCACTTTTGTGGTTTTTTTTTTAAGTGAATATTTTTAAATTTTTAAATTTTTTTTTAGATGCACTTTACTTAAATGTATCTAAAAAAAAAATTATGAAAAAATATTTTTAAAAATTACTAAATACATTCAAATATAAAAAAAAATGTATTGAATTATTGTATTTCTTTTGTATTTTTGGTATTTAGTGAATTTTTAAAAGATTTTTTTACTTTTTAGGTGTATTTATGTTAGGTGTGTCTAAAAATTAAAAAAATTAAATATTAAAAAAATTCAGTAAAAATAATATAACACGGAAAACAAGAAAGTATAATTTTCTCAAAAGAGTTTTTGGAAAACTCTAACCTAACATAGTGATTGTGGTTTTGAGACAGCTTCATATATATACAGTCACAAAATAGTTTGAATAAATTCAACGGTATTTTTCTGTCACAAAAAAAAAATAAAAAAAACGATGTCGTCTTACTCTTTTAATATAACATCTATTTTCATTCATTTTTTCATCTTCTTGTCTCTCTGTATTTATCTCTCTCTGTTCTCTTTATCTCTTTCACTCATCACTCTTTTTTCTCTGTCTGTCTGTGTATCTCTCCCATTTTCTCTCTGTGTCTCTCGCATATCTTTCTTCTCTCTATCTCTTATGACTTCTCTCTTTATCTCTCTCGCTCATCTTTATTCTCTCTATCTCTCTCATTTATTTTTATTTTTTTTTTCTCTCTCTCTCTCTTATTTATATCTCTCTCTATCTCTCTCGCCCATCTCTTTTTTTCTGTGTCTCTCTCTCGCTCATCTCTTTTCGCTCTATTTCTCTCTTTTTGTCTATCTTTCGCTCGTCTCTTGTTTCTCTCTCTTTTTCTATCTCTCATTCTCTCTCTCTCTCTCTCTCTCTTTTTCTGTTTATCTCTCTCTCTCTGTCTCTCTCTCACTCTCACTCTCTCTCACTCATCACTCATCTCTCTCTCTGTATGCTTGTCTATTTGTGTATCTTTCCCTCATTATATTCGTCTTGCTCACTCTCTCCCTTTCATATTCTCTATTTATCGAGCTTCTCCTCGATTTATCTATCTTTTCTCTCATATCTTTTCTCTCTCTATCTCTTTCGTTCATCTCTCTTCTCTCTATCTCTCTCGTTCATCTATTTTCTCTCTCTGTCTCTTTTTCTGTCTCTCACTCTCTATCTTTTTCTCTCTTTGTCTCTCTCTCTCTCTCTAACTCATCACTTTTCTCTGTTTGTCTGTCTGTCTGTCTCTGTCTCTCTGTTTCTCTCTTTCTCTCGTTGTCTCTCGCTCATATCTCTTCTCTCTATCTCTCTCATCTGTCTTCTCTCTCTGCCTCTCTCACTCATCTCTCTTCTCTTTATCTCTCTCGCTCATCTCTCTCTGTCTCTTTCTCATTTATCTCTTTTCGCTCTTTCTCTCTTTGTCTATATCTTTTCATCCATTTTTTCATCTTCCTTTCTCTCTTCTCTTTCTCTCTCTCTCACTCATCACTCTTCTCTCTCTGTCTGTTTCTCTATCTGTCTCTCTTCTCTCTATGTCTCTCTCTTTTTCTGTGTCTCTCTCCCGCTCATCTCTTTTCGCTTTATTTCTCTCTCTTTTTGTCTATCTTTCGCTCATCTCTTGTTTCTCTCTCTTTTTCTATCTCTCCTTCTATCTCTCTCTCTCTCTCTCTCTCTCTCTCTTTCTCTCTCTGTCTCTTTTTTTGTCTATCTCTCTCTCTTTGTCTCTCTCTCACTCTCACTCTCTCTCACTCATCACTCATTTCTCTTTCTGTATGCTTGTCTATTTGTCTATTTCTCCCTCATTATGTTCGCCTTGCTCACTCTCTCCTTCTCATATTCTCTATTTATCTATCTCTTCTCTCATCTCTTTTCTCTCTCTGTCTCTTTCGTTCATCTCTCTTCTCTCTATCTCTCTCGTTCATCTCTCTTCTCTCTCTATCTCTTTTTCTGTCTCTTACTCTCTATCTTTTTCTCTGTTTGCGTTGCTCACTCTCTCACTCCCGTCTTCTCTATTTACTGAGCTCCCTTTCGATTTATCGATCCACTATAAGAAAATGCACTTTTAGCGACCACTTTGTCTCTCTCTCGCTCATCACTTTGTCTCTGTCTGTTTTTCTCTCTCTCTTTATCTCTCTTCTCTATCTGTCTCTCACTTATCTCTCTCTCACCACCCATCTTCTCTACCATATTCACCACTACTGCAAATGCCATTCCACTACTACCACTGTTGTCACTCCATCTCTACAACTATCATTACTACCATCATCGCTACCACTCCACTACCACCACTACTACTACCATTACCTCTCATCTACCACCGCTATTCTATCTCCTCTACCACTACCACAACTTCACCACTTATCTCATTCACCATCACTACCACCACCACTATCACCTCTTATCCACCACTTTCACCACTACTGCCATTTCTATCCTCTACCACAAAAAATTAGTTCTTGATTTTTAGTATAAAAAAAAAAAAAATGAGTCACAAAAAAATTGACCACAAAAAATTAACTTTATTTTAATGGAAAATATTATCCCTACTTCTACCAAATAAAAAAAAAAAAAATTTTATTCATTAAAATAAATATGAAACAAATAAATTTAACTATAAAAAAAAATTATTTTAATAAAAAATAATTTTTTAAACAAATCTTCCGTTACAAAAAAAAAAATATCATTTTATTATTTAAATATTCATTTGTAATAAAAATAAAAAAAATTCCAAAAAAATTTCCATTCCCCCCCCTTTTTCCATTCCCACTCGGGTTCCCCTACCCCAAACCCAAAATCCCCAATGTCAAAAATCCCTAATCCTTTCCCCCTTTTCCATTACCGCTCGTTTTTCCCCCCTCAACCAAAAATCCCCAAAAA